TATAATTATTATTATTATTATTATTAAACTAAAGGAGTGAATTAGCTGTAAATTGCCGACACAGTTTTACTTTTGTTTTAAAATATCGATAAATTAAAAAAAAATATGTATTACCATTTCTTATACCTATAATTTATTACTATATATTGGTCGACCCTCTACGGGTAATTACCTTATTCTGTTTATTCAGCTTAAATATTGCTATGTATTACGGTCCAGTTACTATTGTTAATATCTTATATAGACATTCCACATTTTCAATTTCATCTACAGCCCCCTTTAAGAAGACTCCCAAATATTAAAAAAGATAATTTTTTCTGTTAACTTTATGTTTGATTAACCTCCTACCCCTCCCTTCAACGTCCTTTCAAAAAATTGAAATGTAATATTTGTCTACAAGCACGATAAATTTTTCGCTGACATTTTCTGCATTCGTTTATAATGGACTGTCTGTGTTCCGGTTTATCGTGACATGAAGCAAGAACTCACCCATCTTCACCCTCTGAGCTTACTTTTCTATTTAGCGTAGATCTGACATTTAATTGGTTAATCAAGACGTACCCACAAGTCTAATTTTAATTCTGACCTTATATCCCCGCTCCTTTAACTTTCGGAAAAGAGGTAACAGTTTGTTTTTAAATTTCCTTAAAAAATCATTTAATCACCAGTTACTTCATCACCTGAAGAAGTACAATCATAGTACTGAAACATAAAAGCTTTTGTGTAGTGATTTCAACATGGTTTTTGTATAACGTCTTATAATAAAAATAATATATAACCGTACTTTGTATTGAGCAATTTTTTAAATTCTTCAAACAGTGCATTTATACTCCATCCGTTCTTTCTCTCATCTATCTATCTATCTATCTATCTATATATATATATATATATATATATATATATATATATATATATATATATATATAAAGAAAGAACAGTAAGATATATAATCCGGTGTTCTTATAGGTATTTTTATTTTTACAAAAAAGTGCTCGATGTAAATTTACAGAGCATTAATATTGTAAATTAATTGATTTAAAATATGGTTAATTATGGTTATTAAATTAAAGACATTAGTTCCATTTCATCCTCTGAGGATGAAATGGAACTAATGTCTTTAATTTAATTGCAAAATTAAATTCGTGGCTTTTAGCTTCCATTTTTGAAACATGGTTAGAACTGTGTAGCGGAAAAAAAACATATATATCAAACGAATAATGACTCTGTAAGAGTCATTATTCAATAAAAAATATATTCAATAATATCATTATTCATTATTCAATATAAAATATATAAATAATATCAACAGAGCCAATATAAGAAATATATAGAAAATAATACTAGTATATATATATATATATATATATATATATATATATATATATAGATAGATAGATAGATAGATAGATAGATATGTGTACATAACACAAGATAAAATTATTAAATAAATTTATACCAATACATATCCAAGTAATTTTTATTTTTTAGGTATGTGTTTTCCAAGGCTTTTCTCAAAATCTTTCGACTCGAGCAAGAATCATTTACACGCCGGAATCGCGTTTACTCAGTTGGTTAGATTTTGGGGTGTGGTTCGGTCGATCCGATAACCTTTTACCCTCCCCGATAACGTAGAAGATTTATCTTGTCTCGGTAATATTTTTTAAACCTAAAAAACAATCATGATAAATTTATTGCTCCTATAGGCTTCCATACAAAATTAGTTGATAATTTGTAGGCGTCACCTGTGAGTTTATTTCAGATAGGCGTGTTTAGATACTGTTTTGCGTGCAGTTTTAGCCAATGCCTATAGAGGCAGCCTCGATTAGCTAGTCCATACGTCACGTTCTGTTTATCTCCTGCGTGCTTTGTTTTTGAAACATCCCCTCCACACATTATCAATATTTAGGTAGTCTGGTACAAGGTTAAATCGAAGTGGGAAAGTATTAAGTAGATTTTTTGTAGCAATCTTCAAAATAGAAGGGTGCTTGTCTGTCTGATTTGAAAATCGAAGTCGTGGTGCCATATTGTGGGAAATTCGCACTTTCAAAATCTGGTGAAAATTTAATAATTATACTAGGATTGTTCGTCCGTTGGCAGTTTAGTTGTAGAACGAGTCTTGTATAAATCGAGTTTCAATTACTGACTGCACGGATAGGTAAAGACTCTCCACCGCCACAACCCAATCTTTGCTCCCCCACGATTATTTTTATTCAAAACATCATTAAAAAAAAAAAATATATATTAAAAAGAAAAACTACATAAAAACACTACACGTTGTTTCAAGGGTTAAACACCCATTTAAAAATACTTTCTTATTTTTAATTATCTATTTATATATCTATATATAATTCATATTTATTTTCTTTTAAAAAGTACATTAGCAAAAATGAACCAAGAGAAATATTATTAAAGTTTCAAACTACATCGTGTTTTTGAGGGGAAGATGGAATAAGATTTTTATATTTAATTTTTTAATATATCGAGTTTCTTTTGATGATTAAAATTCAAATTGGAATAAGGTCAGGTGTTTAAATATGGCAGTTCATAAAACTGGTGCCTTTGAAAACCGTTTTATTCAGATATACTTTAGTTTTCTTCACAGAATTTAATGCAGCATTTTCATAGATAAAAATAATCATCCTTTTGAAACTGTTTCTCTTCTTGAGCCGTGATGCAACGTGTGTCTTCAAAATAAAGTAATTTTTGTTTGTTCTGTTGACTTCATATAGAACTTGATATGGGTTTGCCACTTTGCCTCCAAAGTCCGACTCCCAAAAATCAAAATATAAACGTGTGAAGGCGGTTTTCGTCAGCAGTTACCCAGACTTTCCTATAACCGCCTGCTACATTTGCAAGTAACACGGTATTCACCGGTGAAAAGAACAACTGAAAAACCAGTTTTCATGTCTTCTGCTTTGCAAATTATTTTTTTTTATATGGATTTCTTTTAAAGGTGGCCTTGTAATCAGTCTCAAATGCTTTTCCATTTTATTTAGAACTTGACATTTTGTGCTTTTTCATGTTTCGTTGCCGTCATAACACTTGGAAAATTCGTGGATGAAGTTTAATAACTTCTCTGTTAATACTGGAAACAGATCAATGAAATAAATTCCTCACCTTGACCTTATCAGATTTGCATCGGAGTTGCCCAGAATTTTCAAGGAATTTCTTCGCAATACAGTGATACCTGCCGTTCATTTTCGCAATACTTACTTTTACAAATTTCTAAAGTTATTAAACATTTCTTTTTACCCGCCAAATCAACATTCGGATTCCTATTAAAGATTAAAACCCGCAAAGTGGTTACTAATTTGAGACTTCGAAATTCAGGAGTGTTATTGCTAATAGTGGTCAATTCTTTTTTTTTTTTTACATCTGCGCAGAGCGAACCGACTTTCATCCTAATTACGCAGATTGAGATTTGCATCATTCAGCAATACAAATCACGAAGAGGCTAATAATGTGAGTTCCGTTTTAGTTTTTAACATAGAAGAAAGACTCATATTAATATTAGTAGACACGATTGTGTTAGAAAGGTGAAATTTTAGAAGATGTGTATTTTTAAGATTAAATTCACAATATGAAAGATCTGAATATCTCTATAATTGAAATATGCCTTCTGGCCCGTATTTGATCTTAAGATCGTATTTGACAAATAAAATAGTCGAATAATTCTGACATTTTTTTTATAGACAAAGAAAGTATTCTTATTAATATCTTTAAGTGAATAAATATACATTGTGTTTTTTAAGAAGCTCCCTGGAACCATTTTGTCACGTTCTTATCCAAATTTAAATAATTGTTGTTTTTTTTGTTTAATCATTGTAAAAAAATTGAACTATATTTAAATTTAGTTTTGCAAATGGAGTTAAAAAATCAAGTTCTGATATTATGATTCCCATGATTCCAAGTGGATTAGCCATTTGTTTAGGATAATGTAACGTAGATGACGGATATCATGGGGTTACATGGTACAGAAAGAATTAAAAAATAAACATGTCTAAACTATTTATTATTAACGTATCATGTCTTTACATTACCATGAATTGACAAAAACAAAAACAAAAAGTAAATAGGAATAAAGCATTTCCCTTAAAATTTAGAAAGATCAGAAAGAAAGAAAAAAAAAAGAAAGAACACAAGAGAGAAAGAACAAATAGAGAAAGTACGAACGAACGAAAGAAAGAATGAAAGAACGCAAAAAAAGAAAAGAATAAAGAACGAAAAAAGAAAAAACGAAAGAACGGAAGAAAGAATGAAAGAGAGAAAGAACGATTGAAAGAAAGAACGATAGAAAGAAAAAAGAAAGAAATGGGAAACAAAGAAGTGAATATTTAAAATATGACGGAAATATATGGAGATATTTTGAAAGAAAAAAAGAAAAGAAAGATTAATATTTTTGAAAATGTAAGGATAAACGTTTCATAATTTCAAAAGGTATAGTTTTAAAAAAATGGGAAGGAAGAGAAAAAGAAAACTTGAATAACTTTTAACAAATGGAAGAAAGAAAAAAGATTAAGAAAAATGGCAGGAAGGTAAGAAATGAAGAATGTGAGAAAAACGGGTCTGAGAGCTTTCTTTTAAATTAAAGAGAATGAGAGAGAGAGAGAGAGAGAGACAGACAGACAGACAGACAGACAGACAGACAGACAGAGATGGAAAAATATTTAAATGAAAATTGTTCTATGTTGAGGGACTAGCTAGTAGATTGAATGGAAATCCGAGAAAATCAACTTGTTAGGGCCGAATTTAATCTTAGTTATCTGATAATAAGAAATGTTAAAATTTGCGATTGAATTTCGATCATTTTCGATGATGGGTGTGTGGGGGTGTATCATTTGGGGTAGGCAAACACGGCTGACCCATATTCGAAAAATTCAAACGTTTTCGAAAAAAATTCAGCAGTCTATTAAAATCAATCTGCAGTAACTTGTATTTGTTTTCGGTTTGACATTTTTGATTAGAAAAACTGAAGGCATACGAAAGAGAAGCAACAGGAACTAAATGCAAAGAAAGAAAGAAAGAAAGAAAGAAAGAAAGAAAGAAAGAAAGAAAAAGGAAAGAGAGAAAGAAAAAAGGAAAGAGAGAAAGAAAAAAGTAGAGAATGAAACTAAAACGAAAGTAAAAAGAAGAGAGTAAAGAATAAAGATAAAGGAAATAAAGAGTTTAATGAGGAAAAAAAGAAAAGAGGAATGAAGAAAGAACGATAGAAGAAAAAGAAAGAATGAAGAAAGAAAGATAGAACGAAAGAAAGAAAGAGAGAAAGAACGAAAGAAAGAACGAAAGAAACACAAGAAAGAACTAAAAAAGAAATGACGAAATAAAGAAAGCAAAGAAAGAAAGAATTTAAAAACTATAGGAAGAAACTAAAGCGAAGGAAAAAAAAAAGAGAACGTAAGAATAAGGATAAAAGAGAAGGAATAAGGGTATTAATGAAAGAAAAAGAAGAAAAGAGAAACGAAGAAAGAATGCTAAAAGAAAGAAAGAAAGAAATGAACAAAAGAAAGAACGATTCCATAGAATTAGTTATAATAAAAACTGAAAGAGAAAATAAAAAATAAAGAAAGACAGAAATAGCAAAGAAAAAAATACAAATAAAGAAAGGACGAGAAGAATCGATAAAATAATTGATTTGTTTTTTTACAGTTTATCACCATATTGTCTATTATTTAAAGCCGAAAAATATTTTCGGACTGTAAGAATAATTCTTTGTTTTGAGAGTGAATATCGTATTACCAATTTCTGGAGATAATAATGATTTTCAGAGCCCAACTGAAATTCGAACTCGGCTCAGCGATTTCTCATCCTGAGCGGGTATTCATTACACCCCCCCCCGCATACTGAAGTTGACAGCATCTGCTATACCCAAGCGGTCACCTGCCTCAATGTTGCTTAACTACGGTAATCGGACGAGAACTGGTATTTCGACGTGATATGGCTGTAATCCCCGACAAAAAGAAAAATTAAAGATAGAATATCGTGAAAAATTCAAACAAACTATTAAGAATGAAGATAAAAGAAGAAAAGACATTTCGCAAAATTAATGAAAGAGAGCAAAAAGATAAACGAAAAAAGGAACTGGTAAATAAATAAATATAAAAACCAGATTGAATTCTTTCTGGGAGACAAAAAGGGAGAGAGAGAAAGATAAATAAAGAAATGATAAAAATAAATTTAGAAGCAAGGCATTTTACTTAGTTTAAGTGACAAGAGTATATAGTGGCAGGCCGAAATATAAAAGGTCTAGGAACACATAAATATCATAAACTTGTTGACAAGACCTTGTAATGTGGATAAAACGAAACAAAGCGAGAATACAGATTGAAGTATAAAGAAAAACTTTCTCAATCTCTCTTTCACTCTCTTTCTCTCTCTCTGCCTCTCTCTCTCTCTCTCTCTCTCACACACGCTCTTTCATATATGAGCGTGCGTGCCTGTGTGCGTGTGTATACTTTCAATGAAAATGGAAGTTTTTGGAATATAAGCACGTGATGAAAAAAGTGAACTGTCGTATGAGTACGTGGAATAATAGTATATATATCGACAAAAAAATTGGGTAAGGAAGATGATAGTTGATGAAGAAGGGAGAGGGAAGCTGAAGACGTAAAGAAAGAAAGAAAGAAAGAAAGAAAGAAAGAAAGAAAGAAGTAACCAAACTCTAAGAAAGAAAGAAAGAAAGAGACAGGGAGAGAAGAAAAGGAACACGAAAGGACATTATGAAAAAATGCAAAACAAAATTAAAGAAAACAACAATGAAGAGAGGAAAAGTTAAAGAGATAAAGAAGAAAAAAGATCAAATACCTACGCACACACACACATTTATATATATATATATATATATATATATATATATATATATATATATGTATGTATGTATGAACTGTACCCTCTCCCTTTTACTTACAATATGTTTAATAGGAGATGAACAAAAGCATACCATAATTGAACAAACAGTTTTCAAGAATGTAAATCTATTCATAAACATGGTTTCTTTACTTCTCAATTGTGGTATTCAACGTTTGTATAAGAACATATGTACCCGCCTTCGTACACGATTCTTGGCCGCTTTCTCAGACGAGTTGACGTCCACTTCACCTAAGAACCGTTGTCCGCTGATCAACTCGTTCATGCGCTGAAGCAAATGAAAATCTGTGGCTCCCAGGTCAGGGATATATGGTTGAGGTGGAAAGGTTGAACATCCAAGTGCTGTGACTGGTCGTTAAACTGGACTTGCAAAACGCCCCACTTGTCTAAGTGTGAACGAGCTTAATGAAATCTTTCTCCGAGTTTTGGCAATGTATTCATGCGATATAGAATTGTACTGGTTGTTAGTAAAAAAGGACAGTTCAACATTCGAATTAAAAATTGGTGATATCGAAATCAAGCAGGTTCAGTAATTTTAATATCTGGGAAAGGTCTTAATGGGGGGCGGAAAGTGCGACAGTGAAATCCGAAGATGCATTAAGATAGCGAAAGAAGCCTTCCAAAAGCTAAGCAAAGTATTAAGAAACAGAAACGTTTCGTTAGAAACAAAGAAAGGAGCACTGGACTCATTCATTTTTTTTACATGTGAATGGGGCTATTATACTTTTATTCTCTACAAGTATGTTGTGGATGGTGCATGCTAAGTCTCCGGGTGTATTTAAATGGATCCTAATTGATCTATTGTCAGAGATGCAAAAAAGAAGCTTAATTGCAGTACCTTGCCAGTCCTTTAATGAAATTTGTATATATATATATATATATATATATATATATATATATATATATATATATATATATATATATAGTCATTCACATACATGCCTGTTTCACTGTATCACAGCTCATCAGTGTGATTAGACATCCGATTGCTTCAAGCCGAAACCCGACCGATTTGGCATCAGTCGGAGATTCTACCCCTAAGCTCTCGGCGCACGGCAGCGAAAGAGAAATTCAAACGTATTGTATACGAATTTATAAAACTATCAGCATCAGAGTGCTTAATTCGTTAAATTATATATATATATATATATATATATATATATATATATATATATATATGCTAAGATAAACACTAATTTAAAAAGTAGATTTCCTTACCTAGTTAATAATGTATTCCAACCCTACATGAAAACAAACACCAATTCAATATATATCCACTCAAATTCTAACCACCCTCCATCCACAATCAAACATATACCCTCCTCCATAGAATATAGGATTAGCAATAACTCTTCCAGTGGAGATGTCTTTACAAGCATAGTAAATTATATAAAACTGCTTTAAAAATAGTGGCTATAAGTGCCCTGATATCAAATATATAAAACGTAACAACACCAATATTAGAAATAGAAATAGAAGAAGAAAAATCATTTGGTACACACCCCACCCACCATTTAACCATATAGTTCGTACTAAGTTAGGGCAGAAGTCTCTCCATTTAATTGAGAAACACTTCCACAGAAATAATCCACTTAGTGACATTTTAAATAGAAATACATTAAAACTAAGCTATCGCTGTAATGATAATCGGGAAAAAATATTAAAAAACATAATAATAAAATTTTAAATCAATACAAAAACCTGAGTTTTGAGCAATAATTACCATTGCAAACGAAAAAATCCAGATAATACCAACAAGTGTAATTGTAAAAATTTTAACGAATGTCCATTACTAAACAGATGTCAAACAGACGCTTTTGTTTACCTAAGCACTATTTCCACTATAGAAAATCCAAACAGTTAAAAAAACGTTTTATCGGGAGTACCAAGAATTCATTTAAAACTAGGTGGTGCCAACATGTATTATCTTTCTCCAATAACGCGTACATAAATAGGACGTGCCATTCTAAATATTTTGGAGCTTAAAAGAAAGAAATAAAACACTCATAGTAAAATGGAAAATACTCAAACATCTAGAACTTGTAAATCGTTCAATGAACCGTGCTTCTTATGTTTACATGAAAAATTAAAGAGAATCAAATTTGCTGACGAAAATCTCTTTTGAACCAGAGGAGTGAATTAAACGTAAATTGCCGACACAGTTTATATTACCTTAAAATATAGTTAGATTTTTAAATTACGTATTACCAATTCTTATAACCATAATTTATGAGTATATAATGATCCACTATCTAAGGCTAAGTACCTTATTTTGTTTATTCAGATTTAATTTTGCTATGTGTTGCCGTCCAGTTAGTATTATTAATAGCTTATATAAATGTTCCACATTTTTAGTTTTATCTACAAGCCACTTTAAGAATCTTCCTGAATATAAAATTTTAAAAAAATTCTGCTAACTTCTGATCAACATCTGATCAAATTATCCCTCCTTTCAACACCCTTTCAAAAAACTGACACGTCATATTTGTCTACAATTACGATACATTTGATGGCCTGTCTATGTTTCGGTTTATCATGACATGAAAAAATAACTCAACCACCTCCACACACTGAGCTTACTTTTCTATTTATTATTTTAATTGGTTAATCGAGACATACCCACAAGTCTAATTTTAATTCTGACCTTATGTTCCACCTCGTTTAACTTTCGGAAAAGAGTTAACACCTAGTTTTTAAATTTCCTTAAAATCATTTAATCACCAGTTACCATCGTCTGAAGAAGTACAATCAAAGTATTGAAACATGAAAGCTTTTGTGTATGCATTACAATATGTTTTTATTATAATCTTTTATAATAAAAAATATATATATATATATATATATATATATATATATATATATAGTTAAAAATTGTGCATTTAGGCAGCAATCCTTTCATGCAAGCGTCATTAAATATGACAGGCAAGATGCTTTGATTAAGTTATTTTATATAATTTTTCATATAATCTTATATTTTTTCTTTTCCGTAGATAAATTATAAAAATGCTTTATTTTTCCAAGAACTTTTGGCTATACCTTTTGCCATTATCAAGTATGAATTATATTTACTGTTAATTGGAAATCGATTGTTGTATAAATAATACAGTAAATATAATTATCTTTGAGAATGGCTAAAGGTATAGCCGAAAGCGCTTGGAAAAATCAAACATTTGGACAGTTTCTGTATAATTTATCTACGGAAAAGAAAAAAATTATAAAATCATATGAGAAATTATATAAATATTTACTCAAAGCCCTTTGTCAAATTTAATGAAGCTTGCATATATATATATATATATATATATATATATATATATATATATATATATATGTGTGTGTGTGTGTGTGTGTGTGTGTGTGACCATAGATGAAACGATATATGTAGGCGTGTGTGACGATAACGATCGTTAAACTCTATCCTCTATTACTATACGGACCGCTATTCTCTACTGCATTCACTATACAATTTCTCTATTCGATCGTTACTTTTCGAGTGAGTAGTGGCAACAAGTGTTCGTTGACATCACAAAAAATAATAATCGTTAATACATCAGTTTTGATCTAAAATTCTGAAAGCCATATTCTTATCTGAAAGAAGACCCCCACTATCTTTTTTTTTATGTGTATTCAACATGAAATTTCAAAACGGTTTCCTTCGTCTGTTAAATGTTGCTTCCCTATATCTATAGGCAAATCTCTCGAAATCACGCCCCACTATTTTTTTTTGTATCACTATTTCAAAATTCTTCAGACCCCAAAATCTTTGAGCATCACCTTATTCACATTTCTCTCTCCCACCTGTGTCCATCTAGCACACACGCAAACACACAGTATATATACAGGGTGATTGAAAAGGAACTCCCTAATTTAAGTATGATGGACTCTTCCGTCTAACTATAAGTTATACAAGACAGGATAGTTCATCATACATAAAATAGGTAGTTATTTTAGATCACCCTATATATATATATATATATATATATATATATATATATATATATATATAGGGTTAGGTAAATGAGAGAACGAGATATTAACGATCGTATACGTGTGTGCTGGCGTGCAAATAAATAATTACAAAATTTATGCAAGAGGTGGAGACGTAATAGTGCTCCATGTGATAAGACAGAGTTAAGAAATATATATATATATATATATATATATATATGTGTGTGTGTGTGTGTGTGTGTGTGTGTGTGTGTGTGTAACTTACTCTTACACATCTACTTATCATCTCTTAGTTGCGTCTCTGTCTTTGGACAGAGTGCGCTCAGGGGCTTCTTTGTCAAAGGAAGAGGTGCCCAGCCCTGGGGAACAGCTGCCCGTGGCCACGCCCTCCCATTTCACCAGAGGGAGGGATCGGTGCTCGCACTGAGGTCAGCTGAGGGGAATTTTTGTTCCTGTCCCGGTCGTATGCGCTCTGGTCCCCACCTAAAAATAGACCTTTTGTCACATCTCGTCCTAGTGGGAGGACAGAGTAAATATCGTGTGTGTGTTTGTGTGTGTGTGTGTGTGTGTGTCAGTGTGTGTGTGTGTATCTGTGTGTGTGTGTGTTATTACTTCAAATGTCATTACTGTTGATACTCCGTATTTGAAATAGATGTCGCATTTTTATTTATTAAACAATGTCTATTACATCTGCCGGACTGCGCCTTCCAGAAATCTTAGTAAAGAAAAATGTCTTCCCCGGCAGGGATTGAACCTGTGCCTCCTATTATAGCGGAAATCACCGTTTGATCCAGTGTGCTCTACAGCTCAGTCACGAAAGACGATACGGCGAGCAAAATTTTGCTTCCTCTAATCTTTTTAAGGAAAGCGCAATCATTTTAACGTAGAAAGCTTCATATCTGCTCAGTTTCGAAACATAAACAAAACAATTTTTAAAGATTTAATGGATTTATATTTATTTTTAATCCGACATTATATATATATATATATATATATATATATATATATATATATATATATATATAAGGCAGATTACAGTTGTTCCAACGAGAGAAAAGTGTATAAATCGCAAACGTTTTTGGTTGTAATGTGGATTTTTTTAAAATATATATTTTGCTATATTTTCCATAATTTTGCGACACGTGGAGTGGATATTTCCACATATTGTTACAATGAATTATCTTTCTTTATGTTTTCCATGTTAGGCATTCTCTTTTTTATCGGGTAGTGACACAAATGTCTTTCTTGGACATATATATTAGTGAATATACATAATATCCCACATCTATGTATATTCACTAATACATAATTAATAGC